ACTCTTTGTGGCCTTCATAGATCCTACAAAGGCCTTTGATTCGGATAGCAGGGGGGCCTTTTAAAAATACTTCCCAAGACTGGATGTCTACCTCGACTCCTTAACACATTCAGGTCCTTTCATGAGGAAATGAAGGGCACTATAGTTTTTGATGACTCAACATCAGATCCCTTTGACATCTAAAATAGAGTGAAACAGGGCTGTGTCCTCACACCAACCCTGTTTGGGATCTTTTTTGCTGTCATGCTGAAGCAGGCCTTTGGAACTGCAACAGAAGGTGTCTATCTCCAGACTAGATCAGATGGAAAGCTCTTCAATCTCTCTAGATTGAGTTCCAAGACCAAAGTCCAGCTGAAATACATGCGGGACTTCCTCTTCGCCAATGATGCAGCTGTTGTTGCCCATTCTGCTGAATAGCTCCAACAACTTATGAATCACTTTAGTAAGGGCTGCCAAGATTTTGGATTAACAATCAGCCTGAAGAAAACATAAGTCATGGGCCAGGCCGTGGACTCACCTTCCTCTATTACCATCTCTACACAAGAATTGGAAGTTGTTCATGAATTTGTGTACCGTGGCTCAAAAATCTCCGACACTCTCTCCCTAGATGTCGAGGTGGATAAACTCATTGGCAAAGCAGATACCATGTTCTTTAGTTTCACAAAGATAGTATGGCTCAATAAGAAGCTGACAACATATACCAAGATCCAGGTCTATAGAGTCTGTGTCCTCAGTACACTCCTGTACTGCAGTGAGTCCTGGATGCTTTGTGCACAGCAGGAGAGGAAGCTGAACACCTTCCATATGCATTGTCTCCGATGCATTTTTGGTATCGCCTGGCAGGACAAAGTTCCAAATAGAGTAGTCCTAGAATGAGCTGGATTTTTTAGCATGTATACATTGCTGAAACAGCAGCACCTACATTGGCTTGGGCATGTTAGAATGGCTGATGGTCAGATTCCAAAAGATCTCCTGTATGGAGAATTTGTGCAGGGAAATTGTTCCAGAGGGAGACCACAGCTGTGATACAAGGATATCTGCAAGCGAGATCTGAAGGCCTTAGGAATAGACCTCAACAGATGGGAAATGTTGACATCTGAGCATTCAGTCTGGAGGCAGGGAGGACAGCATGGCCTCTCCCAATTTGAAGAGACAGACGTTCAGCAGGCCGGGGCAAAGAGGCAGTCCCGAAAGCAGCAAAATCAGGGAGCTGGACAGGGGACAGCTTGCATTTGTCTTCAGTGTGGAAGGGATTGTCACTCTCGAATTGGCCTTCTCAGCCACACTAGACGCTGTTCCAAGACTTCTGTTCAGAGCACATTACTGTAGTCTCTTGAGACTGAAGGATGCCTACGTGGTAGAACAATGTTCTGGGTTCCAGGACTTCGTCATTCTCTGCTCAATTAATGGATTGCTTCAACATGTAGCTACACTCTGCTTTTCTTTAAAGCCACTTTCCCAGCCCTACTTAGCTTCATCCCTAAGTAGAACTCATAGCACACCCTCAAGAACAAGAGAGACATAGAGAGATCCTCTATTATTTTATTATACTCCAAAGAGCCAATGCTAATTGAGATGGTGGAAAAATGCCTTCTATCCCATTCCTCTTTCCAGATAAAGAAATTATAGTGCTATTGTCCACAATAGGTTACAATAATGGGGAGAAAGTCTCTTCCTCTCTCTCTCTCTCTCTCTCTCTCTCTCTCTCTCTCTCTCTCTCTCTCTCTCTCTGTGTGTGTGTGTGTGTGTGTGTTTGTGTGTAAACAGTGGCACAGTGTTGGGACCTTTGCATTGTTTAGTTTTGGTGCCTTGTACCAAACACATTCCAAGACATTGCCTCCAGGAGATAACTTTGTAGCTCCAGTTTAGAATGGAGAAAGAAGGGAGATGGTCTTGGCATGCGATGCCATCAAAAAGTTCTTCTATTAATCAAAATGTTTACAAACCTCCTTCTGCTTCAAGCCTGCTAGTCTTGTCTCCAGCGTACCACCGATCACATGCAAACGATAACATATCAAGATTCCTTGCAGTGCATTGACTTGTCTATAGTTATCAATTCCACTGTTGGCAGTGGCAGAGGAAATGCTCTGAGATACCATTCTCTGGGCCAGTTCTGGCAGTGTTTCTCAGAAACTCCTCACATTCTACTCCCTTCTGTGGAATGAACGGAGACACATACACACACACACACACATTTTCCCGTAGAATATAGAGGTGTGGGTGTATATAATACACACATACAGCCCCCTATATCTCCCCATAAGTTAGCTGCAAAACTCCATGCAATGATGGGATGAAAATATTTGTGTGAGTGTGTACATTCTTTCCTTTCCATCAGTACCTGACAAAGATGTACGTAATTGCATTGCTTTGTACAGACATTGTTCTGTACCTTCTTTCTTTTCCATCAGTACCTGACGAAGATGTAATTGCATTGCTTTGTACAGACATTGTTACCTAGGTAGAATGACAAGAGCATATCAGCACAGAGAAAAGAAAGACAGGCACATTTGTTGGATGGTGTGTTTATGTCTACAGAAGAGTGCTACTGTGAGGAATTGAATTTGGAAAGAATAGAGGATAATTTGTTAGCATGTATTGATAGAGCTTCCATTTTTAGTTTCAAGATTTTATGTTCTTTGACAGATTTAGAACCACATAGTAGTACAAAGAACTGACGCGATAACAAAATGCTCTTATCCAAAACTATAAGCAAAATTGTAATTCTTAAGTACTGTATATTGAAGAATTGAATATATTGAAGTGGCTAAATGGGTTTTGTATATTGTAGTTATGTGTTATTAGCATAAATAGTGACTTTGTGAGTTCTCTTGTATGCTTTCTTTGACCAGAAGTATCATTCATTCGAAAGTCTTGTAGCATCTGTTCTTGTCCTATTGATGGCAGAACAGAGAGTAGAGAAACATTGGTTACATCTGTAAACACTAAATGAGGCGTGTTCCCAATCCAGCAATCAAGCAACCTGAACCCTACTCAAACTAAGCCTCACTGAATACCGTTGTTATAATCCAGCCACAGTTACCTGTGTCTCAAGCCTTCCTGATTTCAAGGGATTTAAAGTATAACAGAATTACACTTGAAAATATACAGCAATTAATAAGTGTGTTTAGGATTCTAATATCAAATCTATCATAGACTTGTTCTAGCTTCTCTTTTACCTCCAGCGCTACTATCGCTTAGGCTAGCTAGAATTTATCTGTGCTTGTTCATTTGTCGTATTTGTGTTTTGCTGCCTTCATTGCATTAGTTTATGTTTTTATCCAAGCAGAACCCATGTGAGGTAGTTTACTTGGTTTGCCTCAGTCCACAAAATGTGACACTATAAAGTCTGAATTTTATGACAACAGTATGTTTCAGGTACCAGAGACTGTAAAGCATGAAAAAAAGCATATTGCTTTGCCCTTAGCGAGGGGTCCGGAGCTGAAGCATGTTGAGCTGCAGATCAACACGCAGGTGTTGTGTCTGCATCTACAGAAACAACAGGTTGTCTATCTCTTCAAAACGAAACAGATAAATACAAACTATTTCTAAATATTTTTACTTCCACAGTTTTCATGATTGTTAACTTAGTATTTGTACTCATTTTTGTGGAGGTGTCTTAAGAAAATCTGACAGATAATATTTCTCAAGTCCTCCCACCACGTTATGAATAAAGAAATGATAAAAATAAAAACTTGCTCTTTTCAGACCACTTTCAAAGGTGCTTCTCCCTCAGGATCCCTAATGCATTTCATTTTACCTCAACGTTTGTTCTTTCTGTCTGGAACTGTTGCCTTTGAACCACTCTTATTTATGTATGATTTCTATTTGTGGAATATTAAACTCAGAGTTAGGATTTTTTCCATGTATCACTACATTTCTTTTCCTGAAAGATGGGACAATGAGACTACATGTAGGAGTGGGATATTATAAGTTCTAGAATTGTGAACTAGCCAGATATAATTTCTGCTTTTTAAAAAAATTAGCAAAATACATCGGAACACTAACACAAACAGACCCGTATATTTGTTGTTGTTAATTGTACTGTAATTATGCCCAGTCAAAAGTCAATTTTGACTTACAGTGACCCCTGCAGGAATTTCTTAGGTATAAAGTACTCAAGAGGTGTTTTTCCACAGGAAGGTGCTCCAGGGCTGTGCAGCTTGCCCAAGGCTGCACAGGTTGGCTGTTCTCCCAGAAAGCATAGTGGGGAATTGAACTCAAGACCCCTGAGTCTGCAGAAGGGTATTCTTATTCACTGAACTACAAGGTGCCACTAAAATAGGACCATGTAGCTTCTTCCCAAACCTGTAAATACAAGAAGTGTGGTGCAAAGATTTAAACAGGGCAAATCATTTATCAGCTATCACTGTTTCTTGTGGGATATTCTTAGAGCCAGCATAGAATGGCTCTATGTAAGATATAAGTGGGTTCAGATACCCACTCAGTAGTTAATATTTTTTAAGTTGTAGCTGTGTTAGTCTGTGCAAGCATTTCAACAAGAAACACCAAACAAAAAAGAAAGAAAAAAATGGCACCATAAAGACTAACTAACTGCTATATTTTAATGTAAGCTTTCATAGAACATGCCCACTTTGTCAGATGTAAGCGTTGGACATTCATGCACCGTTTTACTGTAGTTCCCAACATTGGGTAACCCAGGTGTAGTAATGATTTGTGACTCCTGCTTGGTCTTCAGTTCCTTTGAAGCCTGGCCCTGTAAACAACAGTGTTAATGTTGGATCAGTTGTAGTCTCTCAGCCTGGCCTAACATAGAGGCTTGTTGTAAATATAAAGGGGAAAGAAAGAAAGGCACATGTGCTGTCCTGGGCTTGTTGGAAAAATGCCAAAGTATAAGTGTAACAAATAAATAATAGTAAGCTATGTAGGAATATTGCTGCCATAGGTATAATCTAAGGATGAGGTTGTAGGTTATTGAATCCAATAATCTTACCATTCATTTGATTAAGTTTTCTTTTCTCTCTCTTTCTCTACAGTGGAGTTTTTATACTGTGATTTGGCTTCCATGAAGTCTGTACACCAGTTTGTTCAAGCGTTTAAAGAGAAGAATTGTCCACTCCATGTCCTGATCAATAATGGTGAGTGTTTTTTTAAAGCATGCTTTCCATGCAAATGTTTGCCTAGTAAGATCCCTGAGATTGTTTTATATTTTACCGTGTTCTTTGAATTAGCAAATATTCATCTGTTTTCTCTAATACTGATTTGTAGCATAGATGTGTAGTTGCAGTGTTACTGAATCTGAAAATTTGGTTCACTGATTACTTGTGTCAGAGGGGGAAAATGGTGTGCAATAGTAGCAAAAGAAAGGTAAGTGTATTTTTGGCAATTATTAGGAAAGACCTGGACAATAATATATCCAGTACTCAAATGTATCTGATGTTCTGTGGTTACTTGTTTGGAGTACAGTGGTGCCCTGCAAGATGATGTTCCAATAATATATCCAGTACTCAAATGTGTCTGATGTTCTGTGGTTACCTGTTTGGAGTACAGTGGTGCCCCGCAAGATAATGTTAATCCATTCCATTGAAATCACTGTCTTGTGAAAACATCATCTTGTGAAAAGTGTTTCCCCATTGGAATGCATTGAAATCCGTTTAATGCGTTCCAGTGGGGAAAAATCATCATTTTGCGAAGAACGCCCATAGGAAAGCCATTTTGTGAAGTGCTTTGCGAAGAACGCCCATGGGAAAGCCATTTTGCGAAGTGCCAATCAGCTGTTAAAATCACTGTCTTGTGAAGCATCAGTCCCGAAAACACCCGTTTTGTGAAGCCGCCGATTAGCTGTTAAAATCATCGTCTTGCGAACCATCGGTTCCCCCCCCCCTCCAAAAAAAGCGTCTTGCAAAACACGGACTGAAACATAGTCCAGCAAAAATTGCCCATAGGAAACACTGTTTTGTGAAGCACAATGGCGATCACAAAAACTCATCGTCAAGCGGATTCGTCATTTTGCGAGGTCATCATCTAGCGCGGCACCGCTGTATTAGATGCAGTTTGACATCAGGATCCAACAGTGGAGTCTGCTGGAGGACTCTAAGGAACTCGACCTGGGGATGGTGGAATGTCACTTCACAGAAAGCTCTTTCAAATGAGTCTATAATCCCACACTATCCAATCATACTTGTCATAACATGATTTTCTGTTACGGTATATACCCACTATAAGTTAACACAGCACCATTTATTGCATTGGCACAAGCAGCAGCATCTCTCACCACCTCTTTGCCTAATGTACAGGCAACAAACACTGCATGTAGGTGCATCCAATTACATTTTCTAACAGGCAGTGGACCACAGTTCTGTGCACCTGAGACTGCTCTGACAAAGGAGTCATGATTCATTGACTTGACTACAGATGGAGAAGCTTGATCATGCAGATATGCTCCCTGGCAGTGATCTACTCAATTTCTACTTTCTTATCAGTGTAACACTGATTTTCTGCTATTGTTGATACATTTCTGTTAAGTCATTGTATGGACACTCGCTTAGCACAGATAATATTCTGATAGCAAAATATTGCTAGCCAGGTGTGCAGTTCATGTCCTGCACATTTGGGCTTTGCTTTTACTTCAGTGCAGTATCAATATTATTGCATTGCAATATGCAATTCCAGGGTTCACTGGTTACCTTTTTAGAGTGAATATGTGACAAAACACATAGCAGTTTGTTAATTTATTCTAGACTGTAAAAACTAATCGGGGTGGTGGCTCTGTGTGAATGTCAGGAGAAAATGTATTTTCTTTTTCTGTCTTGTAACAAGCAAAGTGCCTCTCCTTACATAACCTACTCTGGCTACCTAATAGCCAACATTGCTGTCATGAAGGTACTGAAGGAGAAAACTGTAGTTTATGAGAGAAATGATATGAGAAATATATGCAGACTGTAAGCCTAAGTATGCATTCATGTATAAAAACTTACAATTGGCTCTTTTTGTTTACCAGTACCTATATACCAAAAAACCCCTCTTTTCAGATAAATAGGACAAACTTACGTATATTAAAAGGGATAAACAACAATATAGTTACTGTAGTTGCCATTTGGCCTGCTGTTGGAAGTATGGAAAAGCAAAATATTTTGTTCTAATAGTCACTGCTTGGAAATCCTTGTGATAGTATAGGATACAGATCAGAATAAATGAATATTGTTGTGCTGAGAGCTGTGAAGGCATTACTTGGGATTCTCAGCATCCTGAACTGCTAGATTTTCAGGGGAATTGATTCCATGTTCCACTTTACTTTTTCTGGTTTCATATAGGTATATATTGTAGTGAAACTAGTTTGATGACAAGCCCCAGTTATTTTGCATGATCTATGTTTAAATGGTGGCCTTTCTTCTGCTACCGGTACACTATTTGCTTTTTTTAAAAAAACTTGTTAGTCTGTAAAATCATATGTGACAATAGTTCAACATTTTGAATTTTCATGCTGTTTCCTTGCTGATAAAATGGCCTTGGCTGCATTTTATATGTTCCCCATCCCCAGTCTGTACTAAGAATAGAAAGATGTTTGTGCAGTGTTTTGCCCTATTTGGGGATCCCAGTCTTTTTGACTTATCAAAGCAACACTGTTTCTTTTGCTGGTAGGAGTTTCTAAAAACAAGGACCTGTGTTACATTGTTAATTTGAACTTCGTACCAGCTTGTAAGTAGACCTTAGGCAGGTCTTCACATAGGCAGGATCATGTTCATGTTTTATGGTTTACCAGGGTACATATGATTTATATAAGCAGTAGATTTGGCCTTCTGGGAGAAGAGCTAGCCTATGTTGTTTATCACCAGTGAAGTTGTGTCGTTCAGTATTCATGACTTTTCTTTGTGTTCAACTACAATCTTGCTTTGGCACTTTCTTCCTTTCATCAGAAGTCATTTCAGGTCACTGCTGTTTTCTTCCAGTCTGATGCTTGTGCCTGTAGAAAACCATTATGTCTTTCCATATTATACCCTAATAGTAACTTCATGTCCACCATAACAGATTATGCATCAGAACAATGAAGTGCTAAGGCACACACATTTCTTTCAGAACAATCCGTAGCTTCTCATGATCCATACAATCCAAGTCTTTGCTTTAGTCTGTAAAGCATAGACTGATCTTCTGAAATTCTTTGGTGCACTTCAGTAGCCATTGGATATATCCAATATGATATCAAGTGCCTCTTCCTTTTTGGAATCCAGCTTGAACATTAGACATTTCTTACTCCTTACTACAGTAGGTTAAAACTTTTGTTGTGACATTTTGAGTACCACTTTTTTGCATGGAAAATTAGATCTGTGGTCCTATAGTTACTGCAATCCTTGACATCCTCTTTTCTTGAGAGTTGGAATGTATACTGAACATTGCCAGCGAGGGGAGCATTGTTTTATTTTTCTGTATTTTTTGATGTGTTCTTTTTACAATTTTGACAGATTCAGTCCCTCTGGCTTGAAGTCGTGGATGAAGTACTAGGACTCTAGGGAATAGGGATGGAATCCCTACTTGGCTATGGAAACTCACTGGGGGACTGTTAAAACCACTCCTTAAATATCTCATTTACCTTGAAAGTCCTATGAGGATCACTATTAGTTGGCTCCGACTCATCGGCACAGAACAAACACACATAGCTTTCACTTTACTTTCTAGAACTGCAGATGCCTCATTATAGGATTCTTCTTCAAAGGAACTTATACTTTTGTCTCTTCTGCATAGATCTTCAGTGTACTGTTTCCACCTTCTCTTGATTTTTCTCCTGCTCAGATAGTGTGATTCCCTTTGGATATTCAGCATACCTAATCCAGGCATAAATTTCCTTATGATTTTTTTGGATCTTTTGGAAGACATCTCTTGTTTTTCCTCGTTATTCTCTTCTATTTTTTTAACACTGTCCATTATAATAATCTTTACCTCTGTGTGACAGTCATTTTATTAATAATTCTGACCCTATTTTTGTCACCTTTTACTTTTGCTTTCTGCCTGTCTTTAGCAATTTTAAGTGTTTCTTCCATCATTTGTCTAGGTTTTTATTTTCTCTTTACTACAGGAATTGTCATTTTGCATTCTTACATAGTAATATCTCTAGTATCAATTCACAGTGTTTCTGTTTCACAGTCAACTGAATTTAGTAATGCAAATCTGTTTTTTAATGTGGACATTACATTCATCAAAGATGTTTAAATTATATTTTGGTACTAGGATTCTTTTAATGCTCTTCTTCAGCTTTATTCTAATGTTTGATATTATCAGTTAATGATCCTAGTTTTGTTTTGGCAGAGAGGATAAAGCTTCTCCATCTCCTGTTTCCAGTTACATTGTCTATTTGATTTCTGCGTTGGCCATCGTGTGATGTCCACATGTACAATCATCTGTCTGGTTGGTTGAAGCATGTATTTCCAATAAACAGATTGACTTCCTAGAACTCTACAAGTTGTTCTGCTTCATTTCTGTCCCCATAGACCAAATTTTGGTTTCTGATTTGTTTCCTATTTTTGCCCTCCAGTCATCTATGGTTATAAACATAGAGGCAGAATTGGATTATCCTATCAGCAATTTCTGGGTATATCCCTCCAGAAAGGAATGGAGCCACTTTTTTATCACTTGTGAGCAAAACCATAGGGTGATTTGAATGAGCTCTTAATATGATACTGTTTGCTCTAACAAATATTAGCTTTGTTATGTGCTATTAAGCCAAAACCACCTTATAGAGACCTTAAATAGGGTTTTCAAGGTAAGTGAGATGTTTAAGGAGTGGTATTACCAGGTCCACAATCCCAGTGAGTTTCCATGGCTGAAGATATATATATATAACTCGGAATTAATACAAGTATATAATTCAGACATCTTACTCTTCCAAAACCCAATGTATAATTATATAAATTATATAAATTGCATAAGAATCCTGATATCAGGCAGTTCCACTTGTGTATACACTAATATCAGATGAAGAACTGCTAAACAAAATATGAATCAACACATGGTATTCAAATTATTCATAAATACTCTTCCTACTGCCTTATTCTCTCTGTTGATGTCTATTTAATCAAAGGCTTTTGAAACCAAGCTCGCTAACATAAATTAGTAAATTGCATATAAATGACAGCCTTATCAAAACAGAGGTTGGGTTTTTTTAAGTGACACTAGCATTCTGCATGCTGCCAATCTTTGTTGCAAACTTACTGTCATCTGCTTTCAGATACCAGGATGCATTAATTTGCTTTCATACACCTGGGAACCTTAAGAATCTCATGGCAAATGATAATGAAATATATTTGAAGACCAGTTTGTCTGCAAGAGGCTTTCCTAACAAAAGATTAGCAAATAAAGTTTCAGAGTGGCTCTTGTTGACATGACAATACGGCTTCTTAGTTACTGTCAGTAGAGAAATGGAACACCTTTTATTGGTCAGGTTCACTCCTTAAGGGCCCTTGAGTAAAGCTGATGAAATGCCTGGACTGTAGAAAATCAATATGATACAACTTTTACTGCCCAGTGAATGTTATGTAGTTAATAATTTTAAAAGCAGAGCATGTTATTCTTTTGAGACTTTTCCTTTTATCTGAAACATGTTGGTTGTATTATTTCCTTCTAGAAGTTTTAAAATGCCACTAGAAACAAATACATTGGCAGGGAATATTTTGTAAGCATATGCATCACTTCAGAGACTGTTGGAGGTGACCAAGAACATGCTCAGTAATGTAGCAATTTTTAGGAGGAAAATATATTACTTATTTGTTATTCAGCAATTGAAGGAACAAAGAAAAATAGCAACTTCATTTCAAAAAAAAAAGGGGGGGGTGTGAGAGAAGAATTTACATGATAGAGATGATCTGATTTTTTTTTCCCTCCAAGTTTTTCCAGATTAAGTTTTGGGCCAATTCCTATGTCAAAAACACAGCGAGATGCCCATTTTATGCTTAAAAAAAGGGAACTGGATAGTTAACAAGCCGCTGAGCAACCACATTGCTGCTCATTCAGCCGTAATGGGCATCTCTTTTTCCTGAGGCTTGTAGGGGTATAAAAGAGAACAATCAGAGATCTTTCAGCCATTTTATTTCTGCCTGACAGAAAACAAGAGTAATACATGTTGCTCTCAGGAAACGCCTTCCCAATTTTCATCTGATTCTGGAAATGGAGTTTGGCTGGATTTAATTTCCATTTTTCTATGAAAGGGAACATAGTTCTCAGAACCTGCAGTAAGATATTACCGAGTAGAAATGTATGCCATTCCTAATTATTTCAGAGAGGTTAGATGTTCTGGTAGATTGTCGAGGATGCTATCGTTTTATCTTCCTGAAACATCATGGCCACTGTCTTGTGTGCAGCTGTTCCTCAAAATAACACTTCTTAACTGGTTTGGAGCAGTTGGAAGTAAATAGAGTAGTTAAAAGAATTCTCGACATGATGCATTGTCAGCCAATATGGGAAAACAGTCGACCAAGACTGTATAATTTACTACTATGTCAGTTTTGAAAATTAAAGTTTTAAAAAATGTGGACTCTGGTTACCATATTGTAGTACATTATCCCAGCTGGTTACTCATCTCTTTAACTGGATCCCTTTTCCTTATGCTTTTCCTTGCATTGTATCTCATCCCATTTTGCTATTTTCCTTTCCATCTCCTAATATTTCTTTCTTCTGTCCTCCTTTTTCCATTTGAATCAGTGAAACGCAGAGGAGCTGACTCACCAAATCCCTGTTGATTCAATGGGCCTACTCTGTGCAATTTACTACACTATGCAACAGGATTTTGGTCATATATTTATACCCTTTTCTTCAGCCCTAACATAGTCACTTCTGTTGTACAGCTGTATGTTCTAATACTGTTCTTATTAGCTTCTGGATGACAGACTCAAATCTTTCTCCCTCTGTATGTTACATATTCACCAGAGCTTACAAGCCATATGGTACAAGTAACAGTGTTACCTAAACACGTTGTTTTCTGATGAATGACAGTGTAACAGTACACACCCCCTGTGTGCAATATAACAGCTGGTAACATTTTAGTTTTGTTCATTAATATTTTGGTGATTTTCTTATGAAAATAGAATGATAAATTAATAAAAGTGGAGTAAGTAATAAAATGAGATACTAAGTTTGGCAGCAGGTATTACTGTTAATGAATTACATTTTAATGAGGTTAATGGGTTACATAACCAGTTACTTTTAAAATGTAATTTTAGTTTCCAAGTTCTGATATAGGTAAGCAGAAAGAGGGGGGGATTAGTCTTGGTTCTGTATTAGAAAGACCTGTGTGTAATGAGATTGTTAGGAATCTGAAGCTTTTAAACAGAGTGATATTGGAAATGTGTAGAAAGGGCCATTCAGAACAGAAATGTAATATGCCATCATCTATTCTGGCTCTTAAAGGGCCTTTTAATAGAATTGTAAGCCAGAGTAGTCTTGGAGAGTATCGCTTGAATTGTATTTTTATGTCAATGAGAAAATAACCCATTTCATTACATTGAGCTATGTGTGTTTGAGGGGGAACAAAGCAAAGTTTAAGAACCAGCTTGCTTATGAAAATAGTAAATACCATTTTATAACAATTAATCTGAATAGAATTTCATTGGAAAATTATAATTGAAATATTAGTCTTTTGAAACAAACAGTGTTTATTTGCAAAATTCAATTTTAAAAAATCTAAGAATGAAAAGTTATATTATGTCAGTGTGCTGTCTGGATAGCTCAATGACTTGGATATCTCACTGAGGTCAAGAGTTTGATTCCCTGCTATGCCTCCTCAACAAAGAGCCAGCCTATGTAGCCATGAGCAAGTTGCATAGCCTCAGAGTGCCCACAGATGAATGGACTGACAGACCACTTCTTGGTACTCGATGCATCTGTATCCCATAGACTTCATTGTCCTTTTCCTTTTCTCTTCTTAATTCTTCAGCTGCAGTGATGTTGGTACCAGAAAGGAAAACAGATGATGGGTTTGAAGAGCACTTTGCTGTTAATTACCTGGGGCACTTCTTGTTGACTAACCTTCTCTTAGAAGCACTGAAGCAATCGGGAACCCATGACCACAATGCACGAATTATCACCCTTTCATCAGCCACTCATTTTGTAGGTGAATTACATCTCAATGATCTGCAAAGCAGGTAAACAGAAAAAGTACTGTCTCGTCCAACGTTGATACCACCTCTCTCTCTTTTTCAGGAATGGAGCCAAGTTTGTGAGATTCTTGTTGCCAATGGAATATGTTCCATACCTAGAGCACGGGGGGGGGGGGTTGGGTGGTTCCACCTCTCCTGCAGTCTCCTTGAGTCACCTCAAAATCTCCTACAGAGGGTTGATAGATTCTCCAAAGCAGAGTTATGGGGTTTGGGGTTCAAGGGAAAGAGAAGAGGGATTATCTCATTGTGTGACTACCAGTCTGTTTACACAACATTAGATTTCTTCCCCCTTTGTCTATTGCACCCCACCTTTATCCCAAGGAGCTCTGACAAAAATGACATCAGGGGATTTTGAGAAGCTTCACCATATTATGACTTAGATATAAATGTCTAAATGTGGTCTCTGCTTCATAAGGTTCATTCCCACAACTGAATTTTCCCTATAATGCAACCCTGTCCTAGCACAAAATAAATAACATTTTGAGTAGATTAATATTTAGTCGATTAATAAAATTTAAAAAATGTGCCGCTTGAAAAAAATGTTCATGCTTAATCAGGAAGCAATTGTTTATTTTACTTATTATTGAATCATTAAATTTTTATTCCACGTCTTGGACAGATTTTGCCTTCCACAAGTGCTCATATCATTAAAAGACAAAGAGGCCCGCCCACTAGATTGAAAGGACAAGATACACAAAGTTATATGTTATACCAGCCATATACAGTAAATGCAGTTAGAGATAGGCTGACCTTCTGTAATGGGCTGGTTAATTGCAGAATAAATGGAAGGCTCTTGTTCCTTTGGTCAGTGAATGAGGCTAATATTCTTTTCTCCTACTTTTCTGGTCTCAGAGCAAGAGGTGGGTGAAACAAGTTATTCTTTTTGGTGGAAAGGAAATGCAATCACTTCAGTGTTGCTAATTTGGCCAATTTGCAGGACAAGATTGATCATCCTCTTGGCTTAATGTTATTCCTGGGAGGCTACACGTGCAACCTCTCAGAGATCTTAAGATTCCTGATGGCTAATGGCTCTGGTGTTCTGTCCTTTTGCTCTCCACATCAGTGCTTGTTTGTTTCCTTACACTTATTTTTTAATGTAAAAATATTAATATTTATTTAGCCATTCAGTATTTAATATTTTAAATATTAATAGCTTAAATACCATCAGAAATAAAAAGGCTTGAGTCCTAAGCACAGATAGCAGCTGCCATGCTAAAAGGGTGTGTATTAGAGGTGGGAAAATACCATGCTGATTCTCTTTTGCAAACAGATATTACATGTGAATTGCATGCAACATGTGTCAGAATTTTCTGTTTAATCACTGATTTGTATTTTCACATTTCACTGGAACAGATTTCACACAGTGATACAGTCTAAGCAAACCTGCAAAGCTATTATGGGAAGTCTAATTGAATATAATTATTGTCCTGGATTTGCATACAGTGAATTGTAGCCAAAAGCAATACTACGTACAATGAACCGAGCCAAAAGCAATCAATTGGGTGTCCCTTATCACTAGATGTAGTATGAAAAATACTACTTTTAAAGATACAACAGAACCACAGTTAGGAACATTCTTCCCAACAAACTAAAATGCCCAGTTTTTCCATGGATTGTGTTATCTCGGCTGGGATACAAAAAGGGATTTTGTGGATACCTGAAGGATTTGGACATTCCTAATCTGTGTTTTTTAAAAGGTGGACAAATTCTGCCACAGCTCAATTTATAGTGTGGAGATTGCTTTCAAGAAATACAAACACAGAGTCCACTTGAATGTGTGGAACTTACATAGTGCTTTTGCACACAACTGCTGTGTGCAAGTAAGCCACAATAATATGATGTGTGTGTAAGGGGGAGTGAGAGAGAGAGAGGTTGATACGTAGGTTAATAGTTACTGAAACAGAGATAGGGGTTGATAGAGAGGTTGATAGGTACTGATGAAGGATATATAGGTTTCATTTAAGAATGCCATTCAGAGGTGTGTGGCGGTAGTCACTGCTTCCCTATCCGTATTTCATTCTTTGCTGCATATTCTTTGGATCACATATACGTAATTCTAATTATTTCAAGCCTTCAGAAAGGAATTATAAACGGTGTGTCTTAAAATGTATGGCTTTCGAGAAATTTAATTTTCAGGATGTCAAGAAACATGGCTTTGAATCTTGCTATGAATCTTTTCTCCCCATATACACATCTTTGGCCCCTTGCTACCGAAAGGTGAAATAGCTGTCTTTTTTCATTGTTTAACAGCTTTGGCTTAGCAAATATTCTAACTGAGCCTTGTGGCGCAGTGGTTAAACCACTGTAATGCAGCTAAAACTGTGCTCACAACCCGGGGTTCAATCCCAGGTAGCCGGCTCAAGGTTGACTCAGCCTTCTATCCTTCCGAGGTCGGTAAAATGAGTACCTAGCTTGCTGGGGGGGGGGGAATGTTTAACCTGCATAATTAACTTGTAAACCACCCAGAGAGTGCTTGAAGCACTATGGGGCAGTATATAAGCAGCATGCTTTGCTTTAATGGTAATTCGACAAAATGCTACTAGTGTGTAGCATTCTGACAGCCCTTTTCTCATTTTGCTTCTCTGAAACTGTACACACACGAGAGGGGATATTGAGGTTATAATAATAACAAATTCATTTCAGTTCCTTTATTCCCTATGATAAAGGACCATCAGTTGATTCAAGAAGAACACTTGAATTTGCATTCACAATTTCCATATAGTTGCAATACTATGCCTCTCTTTGTGGAGAAGACAAAAGAGAGGACCTCCTTCAGATCCAGATTTTAACTACTTTAAAGTAGGGAGGCAGTTGGACCTAATAGGAGGACCTTTTTCTTCGTGAATGCTTATACGAACACTATGTTGAAAGAACAGTTCTTTGCTTACATAAGTCCTGTAAAATATAAAGCACTGCATCAGCGCTGACCCATGGCAGCTCAAGAAAAGGAAAGGCATAGCAGGAGTAGCCATGACTATACCCTATAGTGATCCAAGCCCCCACTGTTTCTCTGTTCTGTCTTCTAGGATACCACTGTTACAGGTTAAAATACATTTGGGCAAACAGCTATAATGACTGTAGCTATAACAAAGAGTTATCAAGGTTTATATGCAAGAGGGATTCAAAATATATTCATCCTGAATTTATCTTTCTTCTGAATATTTATTATAGTGCTGTCACTACAGCAGTATGATAGATTTAAAAACCCTGCGAGGCTTTGCATTAAAAAAAAAAGTCTTGAGAAAACTAGATCTTCTTAAGCTGAACCTTCCCTGGACTTTTTGTTGCTTCAGAAGCTTCCCCACCTCCCCCCTTTGACACCTTCTGGTAGTTTTAAAACTTTGGAAGTAAAATAGTAGGTATTATAACTGTACCGGTTCTGTTGATTTCACATTGTCCCCAAGGTCTATTTAAGCACTGTGGTGGCATTGCCATGACCTTAGTGTCTCTCCCCCCCCCAAAAAAAAGTGCTTTTCAGGTCCATTTATGGTGTATCATTTGGCAGGGTGGCCTGTATGCTAACAAAGAAGAGGGGGTTATCCTAGTACTTTTTTACAACAGCAATTATTTTGGTGGAAATATATACAGTACTATGGTATTTCCAAAACAATTGAGAAGTGGAGCTCAGTGAGTATTTTCTTGAATAAAATGGGCATATGTGTTACTTCTACACACACACACACACACACACAATTTCTTGAATAAAATGGGCAGATGTGTTACTTCTACACACACACAGAGAGAGAGATAACATTACTTGTGCCACATAGCCGGTGACTGTACTGTACTGCTTCTGGAGAGTCGGGTGTTGTTTCCAAGTCTTTAAAAGACAGTGGTAAAACCTTCTGGGTCACTCTGCTCCTTTCAGGTGTAACAAGTGTTGTGCTAGAAATTCTTCTCTTCTTCAGCATGAGGTTACTATTCAGACATCAGTCTCATAGCTCTTCCTTGCTCCAATGGGTAGATGCATTCAACATGGAAAATTAATTTTTCAAGACACATTCAGCTCTTTTCATGCCTCCCAATGGATATCCTGGCAGACTGGTTGAGAAGCTTGATATCTCTTTTAGAATACATAGCTAAATTAATCTCCTCACTGGTTGGATGCAAGCTGTTTTGGCAACAGTGCCTGGAGGCAGTCCTCTCAAAAGCCAGGTGTATTCTATTGATATGCTTTTAATGGGAGCTTGGATGACCCAAGAAGGCATAGCTTTTAGCTAAGAGATGGCACACTTACTCTTACGTCTTCAATAGGGATTCTTCAATGGGAATGTGTTAGTTAAGTGATTGATGGAAATAAGAGGAGCATGCTACTATCTGGGTTGGAATGTGATTTAAAAGGAAGCAAACTGCCTTTGTTCTGCAAAAAATCCTACAAAAAGGTGGGTTTCATGGATGAGGAACAGAAATCTGTTGGAGAGTTAGTGGTGTACACCCACATATTAGTCTGTCTGTATGTGTAAACAACCTTTCTATCACAGAAAAGCTGTAAATCTCTACTGACCTCTACCCAAGGAAACTGAATCCTAGGTAACCTTTTTGGGTCACTGAAATTGTCAGCACTCAGAAGTGGAATGCAATCAAATAGTGGTATGATGTTAAGGAACAGTTGGTACCTGAGATGGCAACAGTGGCCAGTGCCATTGTGGCACTTAGCTATCAGTATGAAGGAACACACTTCATCCTACCTTTGAACTAGAAGACATCTCCAGAGGAGTTCCTAGCAGAAGGAAAAATATAACCACTTACTGTGGTTTCTGGTTGTATAGGGAAAGATGGCAGTTTAACAAGGATTACAAAGATGGAGAGGGAAATAAAAAGAGAACTATATATGTGAGTGAAAGTTGGTTTTGCATCTCAGTAAGAACACCATTGCTTCAGTACTTTGGCCATCTCATGAGAAGAGAAATCTCCCTGGAAAGGACTCTGATGTTGGAAAGAGTGAAGGCAAGAGGAGAAGGGGATGACAGAGGATGAGATAGTTG